AGTAAAGTTGGGTGGGTGACAATACCATTCACTAACTCAGAGCTAAACTGAGAAGCATCCTAGATTTCTTCCTCTCCCTTCCATTCCAAATCTAATCAAGTTCACTCAATTTAATCTCTTAAATATCTGTCAAATTTCCCCCTCTAATATCCTCATTACTACCAGCACAGCCTTGGTGGTTCAGCCCCAGTATCTTTTACCTTGATCATTATTACATGTCTCCTAACTGCTCTGCCTGCCTCCAGTTTTGCCCCCTCCAAACCATCCTCTACACTACAGAGCCAGATCATTCTTTCGAAAACACAGTATGACCATGCTGCTCCCTTATTTAACAACTTTCAGTGGCATCCTATCACCTCTCTAAAGGACAAAATCCTTAGCATGTCCCACAAAGTTTTCCAAAGTCTAGCCCTTTTCTCTCTCTCTCTCTCTCTCTCTCTCTCTCTCTCTCTCTCTCTCTCTCTCTCTCTCTCTCCAGTTTAGTCAACTTCTTAGACAATTTTATTTCTGTGTATTTATTTACAATGTACTCTTAAATGGCTTCCTCCCACTCACCAAACCTTACTTTATCTGTATACCTCTTACCCATTTATTAAAGCACAAATGATCTCCCCAGATATGGTTGGATGTCCCTTCTGTGTTCATATCATACTTTTTGCCTATCTCTTATCACTGCAGTTACATTCTGTAATAATTATCTATGAGTATGTCTATTTCTTCTACTAGAATATGATCTTCTTGTGGTCAAGGAATGTGTCTTATTAATCTTTTCATCCTCAGTACCTAAAACAATGTTTGGAAATAATAAACATTTCATAATTACTTAATAAATAAGTTAATAAATACCCCTATAATATTTTTAAAAATATACAAAAACACTTGATAACTATCCATAGTTATAGGTGGTAGGAACTTTTGTCAGAGTAATTTGATTGCTGAGGAAAATCTGGCAGAGTTGGTGGTGCCCTGACTCACTGCTCCTAGGCAACAAAATGAAACAAGGTTGTATTACTCAAATAAATTGTTATGGACACAGCTATGGTCACAGTTACAAGAATTTTTCATCCAATCATTCAAGAAGTAGTTTTGGAGAGTCTTTTATGAGCTAGACCCTCTTCTAAACATTGAGGATTTAGCAGTGAGCAAAACAGATAAGGTGACTGTCCTATTATTCTAGTGGGAGGAGATAATCAAATCTCAGCCCTGGCTGGCTTGGCTCAGTGGATAGAGCGTCAGCCTGAGGACTGAAGGGTCCCAGGTTCTGTTCCGGCCAAGGGCACATGCCTGGGTTGCGGGCTTGATCCCCAGTAGGGGGTGTGCAGGAGGCAGCCGATCAATGATTCTCATCATTGATGTTTCTATCTCTCTCCCCCTTTCCCTTCCTCTTTGAAATCAACAAAGAAATAAAATTTTTTAAAAAAAGAAAGAAAGATAATCTCAGATAGTGATAAGTACTATAAAAAAAATAAAGCAGTCCTAGCCCATTTGGCTCAGTTGAGAGCATTGGCCTGCGGACTGAAGGGTCCCGGGTTCGATTCTGATCAAGGGTACATGCCCAGGTTGTAGGCTTGATCCCCAGTAGGGGGCGTGCAGGAGGCAGCCGATCAATGGTTCTCTCTCATCATTGAGGTTTCTCTCTCTCCCTCTCTCTTCCTCCCTAAAACCAATGAAAATATATTAAAAAATAAAATAAAGCAAGGTGAAGGGTCTACTTCACATTGATCAGAAAGGTCTAATTCAGAGGGGAACATTTGAGGTGAAATCTGAAATAATATGGACTCATTTACATATAGATCAGGAAGAACATTCCAGGAGAGCACATGGGCTTAAAGTGTAAATGAGCATGGCATGAGAAAGACCAATGTGGCTTTAGCAAGATGGAGAGTTGTATGATACGAGGACAGAAAGGTGGGGGCCAGATAATGAGGGTCCATTGGGCCATGGGTTTTCACTTTAAGTTAAAATCCAGACACCCTGGAAGTCATTGGAGGATTTTAAGTGGGGAAAGGACATGATCTTTAAAGATCACTCTGCCAGTTCTGTGGGGAATGGATTATGGAGGGTGGGCAAAGGAGGAAGATCATTTAGGAAGCTACTGCAGTTAAACAGGCAAAAAATAATAGTGACTTGGAAAAGATGTTTGCTTCTGTGAGAATTAATTGGGATATAAGTAAAGTGCTAATTCAGTATCTGGTACATAAGCACTGAACAATAAAATGGTGTGAAAAATTTTTAAAAAATGAAAAAAAAATAAAATGGTGTGAGGTAATAGAAAATATACATTGGTCTCTGCCCCTGGTTCCAGACCCAGGGCTCCTAAAATTTGGAGCATCTTTTGTTCTGAGGTCACTCTAGGTGGGCTCCTGGATGAGTGTTGGTGACCAGAAAGACCCAGCCATAATTAGGAGTTTGGAATTTTCAACCCTACCTCCCATTCTCCAGAGAACAGAGGGGTGGAAATGGAGTTAGTAATTGATCATGCCTATATGATGAAGCCTCCTTAAAAATTCCCAAAGTATGGTTTGGTGAGCTTCCAGATTGGTGAACACATCCACACTGCAATGTGACGCACCCCAACTCGAGGGGCACAGAAGCTCCTTTTTTAGGACCCTCCCAGACCTCGCTCTATGTATCTCTTCATCTGTACCCTTTATCATATCCTTTAATAAACTCATAAATGTAATATTAGTGTTTCTCTGAGTTGTGTGAGTCACTCTAGCAAATTAATTGAACCTGAGGAAGGGGTCCTGAGAACCTCCAATTTGTAGCCAAATCTGACAAAAGTTGTGGGTAACCTGGGGATCTACTATTTGCAGTTGACATGTGGAGTGGGAACAGTCTTATGGGACTGAGTCCTTAACCTGTGGGATCTGACACTATCATAGACTGAGTTAAACTGCTGGACACCCATATGGTGTCACAGATTTGTTTGGTGGGGGAACCACCCCCCATTTGGTGACTAGAAATGTTAGAAGTGTTCTGTGTGAGTACTAAAGGAGACATACAGAAGGGAAAGAACTGAGGTTTTTCCTCTACAAAGGAAAAAGACACACAGGTGGAAAACAGTTTTTCCAGTCAAATGGTACCTATTATTATTAGTTTATGCCTATAGAAAATCTTATTTAGTAAAACATGAACATCAAAATCCTTAAGACAGTAACTTAGGAAGTACACGATGACCACAACACAAGTATAAGAAATATATCTATGTTATTTATTTAACAAAATTTGTTGAGAATCTATTCTGCACAAATTATGAATGGGTTTGCTAAGTTAGCATGGGAAACTGAATTAATAGATCAATTAATCTGTAAGGGACCTGAGAAGAGCTCAACCTCTCACTTGACAAACAACAAAATTGCAGTCTACAGAAAGAAACTGCTGTTTCTATTGAAACTGCTACCTAAACTGGAACATGAGAGGATCATGCCCTAGTTGTCATTAACAACATAAAACAAGCGTTTTTAATGAAATGTTATATGGGCAGCACATTACTATACTAATGCTAAGAAGATGTAATATTTACATGAAGCCTCTGATATAGTTAGTACTTTTCATAGAGTAAATGCTCTATAAACGGTAACTATTCCACCTGTATGGTCTTTGGGAGGCCGAGTGTGTGATGTCTACCTGACATCAACTGTTTGATTAACTTGATAGTAGAGCCACAGGAATTGGAACCTAACTCAACCCTTTTATTTTTTAGATGGAAAGAGAGGTTTAAAAGGGCTAAATGACTTGCAAAGCCAGCCAAGACCAAACTCTTAATCCCCAGTCTGGTTTCCATTACATGTCACAGATCTTCAGGTTGGTAGTGTTCAAACTTTTATAAGAAGGTAATAGGAACATAGCTGCTATATCTGACTTTTCAGTCCCTAATTAAAGTCTTTTTGAGCGATGATTTTAATATAAGAATCATCAACAATGCAGATTGGGTATATATTGTCTTAGGAGTTAACAATGAAACAGTTTTGATAATGCAATTCTATCACAGACACCTGATGAATGACAGTTACCAGAGTAGCTATTACATGCACTTAAGTAGAGAGACTACAAGCAGAAAATAAACCCAAAGGAGAAAATGATCTAAAGCATTTTCTGAAACACACTTAAAATGTGACAACAGCTGTAGTTCACTAAGAAATTGAGACAAACTCTCTTGGCATACAGCAACAACAGAATGGTTTGTTTTAAGCCAAGACTAATAGGGAGGGAGTCTAATAAAAGCATTGGGAAATCAAGACTAAAAACCACAAATTTGGGCAGAGTTGTAGCAAGTTTTCCTTTTCACAGAGTGGAAAGACCAATCTTGCGCTTTCAAGGCCTCTGCATATGAGATTGGGGTTTCCGCCCCCTACTCCCATAAAAAAAAAATCTTTGTATGGGAGGGGGAAGGGGGATATGGCATAGAGGGGAACCCTCTCTCTGTGGTGAGTTAAACTCATTTCCTGCAAATTTTACTATAGGATATCTCGTTTTATTGCGCTTTGCCTTGCCTCGTTTCTTACAAACTGAAGGCAAGACCCTCCACCAGCGAAGATGACTACTCGCTTTATTGCGGTACTCCTATTACGGTGGTCTGGGACTCAGCTCGCAACATCGCCGAATTATGTCTGTAAGGCTCTGTGAAAGACGCTTGCCTTGTCTCAAAGACCTCAGCATTACCAGGGAGAAGGAAAATGGGGTTCGCGGAAGTACGCAAATAAGCCGTGGAGGAATAGAAGCGCTCTAAGACGGGGCTATGGGTTCAAAGGTAGGAGGACGTCTAGACTCAGAAAAGGCTTCATAGAAGCGGAGTTCGAGATAATGTCTGAAGAGGAGGCGAAGATATGGGGATGAAGGGTAAAGAGAGTGGGGGTGCGCTCGGGCAACCCAGAGAGACCAACTCACAACCGCCCGCCGCTTCTCGCGCTCGGCGGTCGTCCAGCCTCTCCCGCGGGGCAGTCGCCAGGGCTCCCAACCAGGTCTACCCCCACCCCGTTCTCACAGCCCTTTCTCACCTCGGAGGCTTCCAACTTTCTCCACGGTCAGGCCTGTCTAAGGACAGAAGACGACGGGAGAGAGCCCCCAGGGTGGCGGCGGAGGTGCCTAGTCAACTCAAGAGCTGGAGGCAGCGGCCAGGCCGCATCCCCATGGTAACGCCGCCAAACTCGGGTTCGAACGCCCGCGCCCGTGCCCGGCGGGGGCAGTCCCGCATTGTCCTCCAATGGGCGTCCAGGGAACTCGCTGACGTTAGCCGTCATCTCCTCTAGAAGACCAATCAGGGGTCGGAAAAGACAGTGGGCGTAACCCTCAAGTTCCGTCTTTCAACCAATCGTTCCACTTAAGAGAAGATCTCGCGACGTTCTAAGAGAGAGAAAGGCAGCTTTGAGGCGGGTCGAGAATTTTTCTCCTTCAAATCATTGGTCCCCCGAAGCGCAGTCGCGCTCCCCGGATTGGTAGACGTACCACTCCCTGGAGCCTCCGTCCATGAGCCCCTCCTTCCTCCCTCTGCTTCGGGTGAGTAGCAGAACGGCCCGTGTGGGTTTAGTTCTCTGCGGATCAACTGAGGCTCCGGCTCAGCAACGGACTAATCTCGCGTAGCTGCAGGGTCAAAGGTGGACGCGCGCTCCTCCACCTGGGTTTAGGGCCCAGCGCCCCGATCGCGTTCTACCTTCCCCTCCCTGGGCCTCAATTTTAACCTTGTTGTTAAACTTAAAACCCTGCCTCCTTCCCCAAAGAGATTTTATATTTTCTAATTGCTTCATTTATTTATTTTTTAAATATATATTTTATTGATTTTTTACAGAGAGGAAGAGAGAGGAATAAAGTTAGAAACATCGACGGGAGAGAAATATCGATCAGCTGCCTTCTGCATACTTCCTACTGGGGATGTGCCCGCAACCAAGGTACATGCCCTTGACCGGAATCGAACCTGGGACCTGTCAGTCCGCAGGCCGACGCTCTGTCCACTGAGCCAAACCGGTTAGGGCTGCTTCATTTATTGAATGGAACATATCGTGACAATTATAGCGGAAGTAAAGAAAGTCAAACGAGAGTCTCACTACCTAAAATACCATTTACTTTTTCTTTGTTCGGGCCTGGTTTGGGTCCTATGAACTTGTTAAACTTAGTATATATAAGTAAAGTAGAGTGAATGCAAGCAAACAGCCAAATGTAGACCACTAGTGCAGAGTTTCAGGTAAAGAGCCACGATATTGGGAATCAGACAGACCTGATTTTGAGTTACTACTCAGACACTTCTCTGAGTCATAGTTTCCTTTTTCTTCTTCTAAAAAAATGGTGGTAATGCCTCAGAGAGTTGTTGTGAAGATTAATTGAAATAATGAAGGTGAAGCACTTCGCACAATGCTGGGCAAGTAGTAACTCCTCAAAAAATGGTAGCTACTAACTTAATAGAAACAAAGAAATATACGAACTAACGGGCCATTAGACTTACTGTAATTGAGTACCCAATTTAGCTCAAAACTTGTTAAATAATAATTAAGGAAAGGATCCATTCTTCAAACGTGAAATTTCTTCATAGTACCTATATTGAAAGGGATTTATCTTGTGGAACCTTTTTACACTTTTTTTTCAATTGATTTCAGAGAGAACGGAAAAAGGAGAGAGAGAAACATCACTGATGGGAGAGAATCATTGATGGGCTGCCTCCTGCACACCCCCACTGGGGATTGTCCTCCACTCTGCAACCCCGCGCATTCCCCTTGACTGGGAATGGAACCATGACCTCCTGGTATATAGGTCGATGCTCAACCACTGAGCTACACTGGCCAGGCTTGTGGGACCTTTTACATGAGGAATATACATGGCGTGGTGAACAGTGTGTTCCCCAGCAATTTTGCAGAAAATATGAAAAGACTTTAAAAAATATATGTTTATTGATTTCAGAGAGAGGAGAAACATGGATCAGCTGCCTTCTGCATGTGCCCTACTGGGGATTAAGCCTGCAACCCAGGCATGTGCCCCGACTAGGAATCCAACTGGCAACCCCCTGATTTGGTGCGTGGGACGGTCCTTAACCAACTGAGCCACACCTGCCAAGCTGAAAAGCCATTTCTTTATTCATTTATCAATAAAAGCTAAGCGCGTGCCATTAAAACACCATAAACCCTGGCTGGTGTGGCTCAGTTGGAGTGTCCTCCCATACACCTGAAGGTCACAGGTTTGATTCCTGGTCAGTAAGGTGCATAGGAGGGGAACTACTTGCTGTTTCTTACATCAGTGTTTCTGTCTCTCCCCCTTAGGTCAAAAAAAGCATGTTCTTGGGTGAGGATTAAAAACACACACACACAACAACAAAAATAAAAAAGCTTTCTGGTGATCTTTTATGATACAGGGATAAGAGTGACACATACATTCAGTACTTCTAATGTGTCAGATCCTATTTATACATTATTTTGAATTACAACAATTGTGAAAAGTAGGAGTTATTCTCATCTTACCAATGAGAGAAAATGAGGCTTAATGAAGTTAAATATTTTGCTCAAAGTAACACAGTTGTTTAAAGAGCTAGGTCTTTCTCACTGCAAAGACAGCCATGCTTTTCTGTGCTGTGCCATGCTATTTCAGACTGAAAGAGGATGAAAATGCTTGTAATAGCAGATGCACAAGCAGACTCACCCAAATGGAGTGAGGTGGGCTCCAGAGGTACCTACAGTGAGAGCAAAAATTTTCTCTAATGGAAATTTCCACCTTGGGAAATGAAGAGATGAGATCAGAGAATCACTGAACTCTAGACCCATGTCATTTTACCTTGTGGTTAGTCTTTAACACTTTAAGTTCAACTTGTCCCAAACAGAAATCATTAGCTTACATTCTACTCCCTACTCTACCTACTTATCTTCTATAGTTACCCAAACCATACGTTCTCTCTCTCTCTCTCTTTCTCTCTGTTGGACAATGAAACATCAAATCGTGTTGATTTTCTCTTTGAGATATCTTTCAAATACATCCCTTCTCCTTTCTCACTGCCTCTGCCTTAATTTAACTCTATATCATTTGTCATCTGGACTGTTGGCAACGGGCTTGTAACCAATTGATCTTGCCTCTAATCTTCCCTTCTAATTCATTTCTACCTCCCTTGCAATTCATTTCCACCTTCATTGCTTCCAGACATGCTTCCAGAATGTCTTTGTAAAATGTCAGTCTGACCATATTATAGCCCTCATTGCTGTCAAAGGCTCCTCATTGCCTACAGAATATACACTAAGCTGTTTGGCAGTGGAATGCCATCTTGTGCTTGAGGGTCTTTGCCCTCACCCCTTTTACCTGGGTGCCCCTCGCCCCCACCTTTATTTTTCTGGTCAACTCCTAGCCATCCTTCAAAATCCTTATAGGTTATCCCTTTGACCTAAAGGTAATCACTCCTTTCTCTTTGCTATCTTTCCAGCTTACACATACAGCTATGATGCCCAAAACACACTGGTAACTTGTCTGTTTAAATATCTTCCACTTTCACTAGGCTGAGAACCCCTAGAAAACAGGAGTTTTGTAGTATTCAGCTCCATATCTACTCTTCAATCCTGTTACATTGCCTGTCACATGGGATACACTCAACAGATGTAAGATGAATAAACAAATCCCCTCAGGCTAATATTAAAATTCCCCATCCTTGCTTTCCAGAATTGTACAGCAGATGGCACTAATAGGCCACTAAACAGATTCCCTTCACTAGGAATGATTTTTGTCTCAACCTTGTCTGACTTTGTCCTCATCCTGGAAGCCAATATTCATGTCATTGCAGGTGAAATCTCCTTTTTCCTCCCTCAGCCAAATAGCAAAGATAGCAAGATGACTCAGCAGCTTGGTCTCTGAGACGAGAAAGTGGCAGATGTCCAGGGAAAGATGCAGTTGAGGGAACATTGTCTCAATTTCATCATGGTGGTTGGGGGCTTTTTTCTTTCCTGTTTTCTTTTTCTCTTTTTGCTGGTGTTGTTACAAGAGAGAACTTTATTCATAGATGGGTGGCTCATTTCTGCCCACCCCTTTGAACGGGGAGAAGGGAGTTGGAGAATCAGAGAAAAGACCATGATGATGTGGAAAATAAGGGAAAGCTGAGCCGTCACAGAGTTGCTTGTGGGCCAGCATAGTTGGGCCTCCTCACAGTGGAATGGTCTGGGCAAATTTTCTGGACACTAGCATCTTAAATTAGGTGCTTGTGTGCTTGTCCAAGGCTAGCATCAGGGTGTTCCCAATACTCGGTACCTGGAAACCCCCACACTACTGGGTATGGTTTTGAACATGTGGTTTTAGGTTCCTGTTTCCTAGGAAAAAGCAGAAGAGGCAAAGAAACCCTTATCCAGAGAGGCAAAGTTTAGGCACCTCTGGCTACACTACCCCTCCGGGGTTGTCTTTGGGCACCAGGCCCTTTATTAATATACCCTTCCAACTAAAACCCGTTCTGTAGAAAGGATTCCAGCCAGACATCTTAAAAACTCTCCATATGAATATAGATCAAAGACTGGGAATTTTGGAATTGGAAGTAATTTTTTTTTTAATATATTTTATTGATTTTTTACAGAGAGGAAGGGAGAGAGATAGAGAGTTAGAAACATCGATGAGAGAGAAACATCGATCAGCTGCCTCCTGCACATCTACTGGGGATGTGCCCGCAACCCAGGTACATGCCCTTGACCGGAATCGAACCTGGGACCTTTCAGTCCGCAGGCCGACGCTCTATCCACTGAGCCAAACCGGTTTCGGCTGGAAGTAATTCTTATAAGTCATTTGCATGTCCTCTGTCAGGGCCATTTTTGCCCCAAGCCCTGCTCTCTCATGGTAAGGAGTGCTGTATAAGGAAAAAGAAGATAGCCTTTGGAGTTAGGCTTACTTGGATTCAAATCCCACCATTCACAGATAGGTATGCCTTTGGGCAAGTATTTTAACCTTTTTGAATCTCAGTTTCCCCATCATAAAATGAAGATAGTAATGCTTATCATGAAGAGTTGTTTTGAGCATTAAAAAGATACACGGAGCCCCGCCGGCGTGGCTTAGTTGTTGAGGGTCGACCTATGAACCAGGAGGTCATGGTTCAATTCCCAGTCAGGGCACATGCCCGGGTGGCGGGCTCCATTCCCAGTGGGGAGTGTGGGGGAGGGCAGCTGATCAATGATTCTCTCTCATCATTGATGTTTCTATCTCCCTCTCCCTTCCTCTCTAAAGTCAATAGAAACATATTTTTTAAAAAGATATAAAAAAAACAGGTGCAGTGTAATTGACATAGTGTAGATGCTTAATTGATAAGATGGTGGCATGAAACATTTTTATTAAGGGGATTTTAGGCTATGAAATACAAGTTGGGGG